AAAAAAAAAAAAAAAAAAAAGAAAAGAAAATTCTTTAGTCATGTCAAAGATGTGAAATTATCAAAGAAACAAAGATTTTAAATTGTAAAAACAGAGGCAGACCTCTGCCTTGCATTCTCTTTTCAGTACTAAAAAATATTACATCAATCCTCTAACAGGTTAACCTTGAAAAAGAATATTGCTCTTATCTTTTTTTTTAACTTTTATTTTAGGTTTGGGGCTACATGTGAATGTTTGGTACATAGGTAAATGTGTCAATAATATGTTATACGTATTATTTCATCAGCCAAGTATTAAGCTCAGTTCCCAATAGTTATCTTTTCTCCTTCTTTCCCTCCTCTCACCCTCCCTTCAAATAGACCCCAGTGTTTCCTTCTTTATGTTCCTAAGTTCCTATCCTTTAGCTCCCACTTGTGAGAGCATGTGGTAGTTGGTTTTCTGTTCCTGTGTTAGTTTACTAAGGATGATGGCCTCCAGCTCCATCCAGGTTCCTGCAAAAGATGTGATCTCATTCTTTTTTATGGCTGCATAGTGTTCTGTGCTATATATGTACCACATTTTCTTTATCCAGTCTATCATCGGTGGGCATTTAGGTTGATTCCCTGTCTTTGCTATTGTGAATAGTGCTGCAATGAACATTTATGTTCCTGTGTCTTTATAGTAGAATGGTTTATATTCCTCTGGGTATATATCTAGTAATTGTGTTGCTGGTTTGAATGGTAGTTCTGCTTTTAGCTCGTTATATTTGCATCTTTTGAAAGCTCTTTGCTACCTTATGGTGTGATTACATTTGCTCCTAGAGATGCACTAAGATGATTGAACACTAATTTGTACTTTTATTCAGGTTTAAACTAGAATTGTTTGTCTCCAACAGCTACTATTTTAGGAAGTGAAAATATGTTTTCAATGGGTCTCATTCCAGGCCTTGATTTCAGGATTTATTTCCACTTGTTTTCTTCTTACTTGGCTATATCAGAGTTCTTTGATTGCCAGTAATGGTAGTTGCTGCTGGTTAATTTAAGTAATAAGGGAATTTACTGGGCAAATTGGGGGAACATCAAAGGATTGAGAAGACAGGCCTGACAGCTCATGTGAGTCTCCAAAGCATGCACATCTCAACAGCCCCATCTAGCACAAACGATGACAATTCCGGGAAGAGAGGTTTTTTTTTTTTTTTTTTTTTGAGACGGAGTCTGGCACTGTCGACCAGGCTGTAGTGCAGTGGCGTGATCTCGGCTCACTGCAATCTCCACCTCCTGAATTCAAGCAATTCTCCTGCCTCAGCCTCCTGAGTAGCTGGGACTACAGGAGTGCACTGCCACGTCCAGATAATTTTTTTGTATTTTTAGTAAAGACGGAGTTTCACCATATTGGCCCAGATATTCTTGATCTCCTGACCTCGTGAGTTTGAGGCTGCAGTGATTTATAATTGTGCCACTGCACTCTAGCTTGGGTGACAGAGTGAGACCCTTTTCCTTAAAAAAAAAAAAAAAAAAATATATATATATATATATATATATATAGACTTTGTTGTTGTTGTTGTTGTTGTTGTTGTTGTTTTTGAGACAGGATCTTCTTTGTTGCCCAGACTAGAGGGAAGTGGTACAAACACAGCTCACTGCAGCCTCAACCTCCCAGGCTCAAGCAGTCCTTCTGCTTCAGCCCCTCAAGTAGCTGGGACTACAGGCAGGGCCACCATGCCTGGCTAATTTTTGTATTTTTTGTAGAGATGGGGTTTTGCCATGTTGCCCAGGCTAACCTTGAACTCCTGAGCTTAAACAGTTTGCCTGCTTTGGCCTTCCAAAGTGCTGGGATTACAGGTGTGCACCACTGCGCTCAGTCTGAGACTTTGATCAAAGTTAATAAAATCTCTGCAGTAAGATAAAAATAAAATTGCATAACTTCTAAACTAATAGAATGGGAAAACTGGCATTAACAATTTTTTTCTTTCAGAGACCAGTTCTGTCTGTGTCGCTCAGCCTGGCCTCAAATACTTGGGTTCAAGCAATCCTTCCCCCTCATTCTCTCTAGTAGTTGTGGCTACAGGTATGTGTCACTATGCCCAGAAAAAACTGGAATATTCGTTCCAGGGTTTTGGCACCAAAAAAAAAAAAAAAAAAAAAAAAAAAAAGAAAAAAAAAAAAAAAAAAAAAAAAAAAAAAGAAAAGAAAAAACTGGAATATGAATAATAACAAAATAAATTCAAAAGTTGACAGGAAATAGGAGAAAATAGAACATGAAACAGAGAAACAAACAGAAAGCAAACATTATTATAGTAGATATAAAATAAATCAATAAATACATTAAATGTAAGTGGACTAAATGTTCTAATTAAAATATAAAAATCGTCAAACTGCATAAGAAAACAAAACCCAGTTATATGTTGCTTACAAGAAGCATATCCTAAATATAAGGATACAGAAAGGTTGAGAATGAGAAGATGCAAAATGTTATGCCATTAAAATGTTTTGAAGAAATCCCTGTGGCTGTCATGAGGATAATAAATGAGAACTATAGGCAAGAAAGACAATTAGGCCGATGAGATTTCTTCGAAGTGGGGAATAATAGAAGCAAGAGGTTGAGAGAACTTAGATGCACTATAAGGTGCACTTAGATACACTAAAGCACTATAGAAAGACTATTAATATAAATATATAAATATAAGGGGAAGGGATGTATTGCTAAGAATACTAGGTGTAAGAATTAATGTCTCCTCTATCATATTTCCCCTTTTGTTGTCTTATATGTGTATTCTATCATTTGGATCAAACTAGGAACAAAAGAGTGCAGGCAAAAGGACAGATGACTGACTCCTAAGACTCATACAGAGGGGCCCTATGGGATGTAAGATACCCTATGCTAGACGCCATCCCACTTCACTTTACTATGCAAACCTGCCACAGGCTATGCTCATTGTAGTGGTACTCTTACCTTGCTATTCTAAAAGGTCAAAATTTAAACTAATGATTTTCTTTCTGAAAGAACTGTAATTTTTCGGTTTTAGAAATATTGATTTACAGATTCCTGAAATAATGGTATTATTTTCTCTCTTTCTCTTTTTTTTCCCCCAAGGCAGAGTATTGCTTTGTTGCTCAGGCTCGAGGGCAGTGGCAAGATCTTGGCTCACCACAACCTCCGCGTCCTGGGTTCAAGCAATTCTCCTGCCTCAACCTCCCAAGTAGCCAGGATTACAGGCATGTGCCACCACACCTGGCTAATTTCTGTATTTTTAGTAGAGACAGGGTTTCACCATATGACGTTACTCACGTTCTTCCCTTCATTCCAAAGCAGCTCATGCTAGAGAGTTTACTTCATTTTTTTTTTTTTTTTTTTTTGAGACTGAGTCTCCCTCTGTCACCCAGGCTGGAGTGCAGTGACACCATCTCAGCTCACTGGAACCTCCACTTCCCAGGTGCAAGCGACTCTTGTGCCTCAGCCTCCTGAGTAGCTGGGACTACAGGTGCGCACCACCATGCCTAGATAATTTTTGTATTTTTGATAGAGATGGGTTTCACTGTGTTGGCCAGGCTGGACTGGAACTCTTGACCTTAGGTGATCTGCCAGCCTTGGCCTCCCGAAGTGCTAGGATTACAGGCTTGAGCCACTGCACCTAGCCAGAGTGTTTTCTTTTTAATATAATATCTGTAGCACATTCTTGTTCTTTCATTCTCTAGCTGCAATTATTGAAAATATAAATTTCAGATAAGAGCATCTTTATTAGCTTAAATTCTGTACATCGTTGCTTTTGTTTCTATTAGCTGTTTAAAAGATTTGTGGCCTCTCAAAGTGCTGGGATTACAGGCATGAGCCATCACGCCTGGCCAGGATTCTTCTTTAATACACATTATTTCTCATCCCAGCAATATGAACATGGATATTCATAGTGAATGCTTAGCTCTCAATTGCCAGCATAGAATGGAGAACATATGGCCAAGCACAGTGGCTCACACCTGTAATCCAAGCACTTAGGGAGGCTGAGGTGGGAAGATCACTTGAACCCAAGAGTTATTATTGGTTGAAATTTTTGATACATAGAGGTTGATAGTCAGTATTAGTTTCATATGTAATCACTGATATCAGCCGGGTGTGGTGGCTCACACCTGTAATCCCAGCACTTTGGGAGGCTGAGGCAGGTGGATCATGAAGTCAGGAGTTCAAGACCAGCCTGGCCAAGATGGTGAAACCCTGTCTCTACAAAAAACTATAAAAATTAGCTGGGCACAGTGGCAGGTGCTTGTAATCCCAGCTAATTGGGAGGCTGAGGCAGGAGAAATGCTTAAACCCAGGAGACAGAGGTTGCAGCGAGCCAAGACTGCACCATTACACTCCAGCCAGGGTGACACAGAAAGATTCCATCTCAAAAGAAAAAAAAAATTGTGCAGCACCAGACCTCATAGAAGGGAAACTCTGTTTTAATGCCTTCTGTGCAAAAACAAGCCTTCAGAAAAAAGATTTTCTTTGCCCTGCTGTGGAATTTGGAAGAAAGTGTAAGTGCTACCTCAAGGACTTCATTACCCCTCAAAAATGTTTTCTATGGTTATTTTGTGTATACCGCTAGCAAATGTACTCTTTGGCCTCAGTAAATGTGGTTACAGCTGTCCAGTGGCTGCTTCACTGAGGTTTTATACTTTTAACTCTTTTATGTCCAGTATGTGTGGGTGTTTTTAAAATTTTTTTTTAGTAGAGATGGGATTTTGCTGGATTGCCTAGCCTATGGGGGGTTTTTGCTGTAACCAAGTGAGTTGTAAGGAAAAGTGCCACACTCTGAGATTGAATCAGGAGTCCTTTATTGCTGGCGACCGAGAGTTAGCTCACGCTCAAAAGTCTCTAGGCCCCAAGGAAGGGGCTTGATTCCTTTTATACCTTGCTTAAGATGGCGGGAGAGGGGGGTGGCAAAGCAGAATTTTACAGAAGCAGAACAAGCAAGTTAGATAAGAAAGCTGGTAACCAGGAGGCAGGAGGTTCCCAGGATTGTTGGTTACCAAGGAGGGTAGCAGGGAGGACTTTCTGTACAATCAATCACCAAGGCAAGTAGGTTATTCACAATAGCAGGTAGACTTGCCAAGCAGGATGTAGTTACAACAGTTACAAGGTACTGGGTACCGCATGACCCAGCTGTCCACCTGAAGGAGAAATGGCGGGGAGGGAGAGGCTAAGATGGCGTTTGTCAGGCTTACATCTAAGATGGAGTCTGTTCAACTATTACAGTTTTAAAGACAAAGTAGATATGTTTACAATTTTCTTAATAAATTATAATTCTGTAAAACTATCAAATTATGTGACTTAGTCCAGGTGCAGTGGCTCACACTTGTACTCCCAGCACTTTGGGAGGTTGAGGCGGGCAGATCACTTGAGGTCAGGAGTTAAAGACCAGCCTGGCCAACATAGTGAAACCCTGTCTCTACTAAAAATACAAAAATTAGCCAGGCATGGTGGCTGTGTGCCTGTAATCCCAGCTACTAGGGAGGCTGAGGCAGGAGAATCACTTGAACCCAGAAGGTGGAAATTACAGTGAGCCAAGATTGCACCACTGCACTCCAGCCTGGGTGACGGAGTGAGATTCTCTCTCAAGTTAAAAAAAAAAAAAAAAAGTGACTTGCAGATTAACTGGTCAAATTATAATCATTTTAATCTAAGTGAATTTTATCTAAATATGATTAATGTTTATTATTTAATAGTAAATGCTTAAGTAATATTTAATAAATAATAAAAATATTTTTTATCTAATCAAATCAGCTAAAAGTGTAAAATTTTTTCTTATATTTTATATTTTAATTTATACATAATGTTACATCTAAAAGGAATTTGTTAATAATTTTTTTTTCTCATAGTTTGAAATAGAACATAATGCCTTTTAATTCCCTCAAAGAAATTTTTCCAAAATGCTTGATAGTGTGAATTTAGGCCTAAAGAAAGGCAGAAAAGCTTCTAAACTCTGATTAAAGTCAGGAGAGCTTCTTTTTTATTGTCCCTTCCCACTTTTACTGGCTGTATCCATTGTTCCATTTTCATTCTCCCCTTCTGGAAAGCAGGAAAACAGTGCTTCTTTGTTGGCACTCAGGGAGACCAGGTTTAATTAAAGTCTGAAAAGCACATTTGAAAATGAGGAATGTTAAGCCAGAAATAATTTGTGAAGTGTTTTACCCCAATCTGCATATCACCAGTAGTTGAAAAATAAGAAAAAGTCAAAAAATTAAATAAATCAGGAAAATATGAAACCCAAGTCAGTTATCAACGACCATCAGGAATAGGATTCCCTGGGCACCACTTGGTGGGAAGAAACGTGAGGTCCTGTTGGCCTTTAGACTGTTGTTCTGGAATGTCCTATAGATGCTGCTTTGGAAAAAACAAATGTGGTCATCACATATAATTGAGTGAATTCTGCATAGACAGCACTAAAAATCATCATGAACAAATAGCTTCTGCACTCACATTATGTGCACGGTTCAGTTCAAGGCAGCATTCCATGCCACTCAGCCTTTTAAGGCAAGCCAGTAAGGTCGTTGTCTTGTATCATGTGCCATGTTTTCAGGAATGTCTATTTCTCCTTGTCCTCTTCTATATAAGAGGCTACAGGCCATTTCTTTGAAATGTGTTATCTAGTGCTCTTGTGTTTTTATTTTTGTTTTCTTTTTGGTTTTCTAATTGTTTTCCACATTTTATAGATTGTAAGCCTCAGCATTAATTTATCAAGCATAACATCCATTAGTGGGATTACCACTTGAGAACTGTCAATTTTTCAATAAATTCATCAAACAATCTGTTAATTGATGAGTTGGCAGCCATTGCTCTTGAAGTCATTGTAGTACTGAACCCATGAAACATGTTATTATTGGTTGAAATTTTTGATACATAGAGGTTGATAGTATTAGTTTCATATTTAATCACTGATATCAGCCGGGTGTGGTGGCTCACGCTTGTAATCCCAGCACTTTGGGAGGCTGAGGCAGGCAGATCATGAGGTCAGGAGTTTGAGACCAGCCTGAACAACACAGTGAAACCCGGTTTCTTTAAAAAATACAAAAATTAGCTGGGCATGGTGGTAGGCACCTGTAATCCCAACTACTCAGGAGGCTGAGGCAGGAGAATCACTTAAACCCGGGAGGTAGAGGTTGCAGTGAGCTGAGATCAGGCCACTGCACTCCAACCTGGGCAACAGAGCTAGACTCCATCTCAAAAATAAAATAAAATAAAGTAAAATAAAATAAAATTACTGGTATCTAGAGTATACTAGAGGGTCTTGGGAACTTGGTTTCTTGGTTTATGGGTCCTTTTTTGGGTATGACTTTCTTATTTTAAGAAGACTTTTTCTTTTTTTTTTTTCCTTATAGAGATAGGATCTTGCTATGTTGTCTGGGCTGGTCTCAAACTCTTGAACTCAAACAATCCTTCTGCTTCAGCCTCTCAAAGTGCTAGGATTATAGGCACTAGCTACTGTGCCCTGCCCTTATTTTAAGAACATTCTCTTGGCTGGTCCGAAGATATTGAGTTATCTTAATTGATTGTTCACAGTCAGTTACAGATTGAACTCCTTGTTCTACTCTTTCCCCCCTTCTCACTACTGCACTTGACTAGTCTTTAAAAAAAAAAAGAAAGAACATTCTCAACCTGTAGTTGGCAACTTTTCATTGGCAACATGTCCTTGTCTGCTATTCAGGACTTTAGTATCATGAAATTTAAGCAGGTACAGTATGTTTAAATTAACAGATATATCAAAAACCAAGAAATTAATTAGAAATAAAGGGCAGTCATGGATTGATATTTAGGTTATAAGAATTTGTTTCAAACAGAGACTAAGCTGTGCTTTAATTGTTCCCGAAATATCCTATGCAATAGTATTTGGCTTGAAAGGGAGAAGGCAGGAATAGGACTGAGCAACTGAAATTAAAGCGTAAGTTTTAGAAGCCCTTTACTCACCTAAATGGCTTCCACTTTATCCTTCCTTAAAGCCAAGGGAAAAAGGTTCTGAAAACTTAACTTGAGGGTTTTCTGTTTTTCTATTTTGCATTAAAATGTATCTCACTTTATTGTTCATATCTTAAGAAATGAATACAGCTCACATGAAACAGCCCTTCACAAATTATTTACCCTATGAGGAAAGAGAATCTTTCTAGTACATACAAATGCACACCTTATAGCAACTGATCTATTATCATATGCCTTAAGGACACTTAAAAAGTGTCAGCAAATGTCAACAAAATATTGATGGCAAAGATAATAAATAATGATATGCTGGCGAATTTGTGTAAGATCCTGGATAGTCTATCTGAATTCCACTTAGAATGAAAGAAGATAATATTATCCCTCCTTTTTAAATCTGCAAAAGAAAATCTTATAAAATGATTTATGAAATTCATAAAATTATGAAATGTTATGATCATTTTAAGCAATCAAAGGCAATTAACACTATTCTCATATTACTATGTACTTCCTGTATACACGAGAGACCATAAGTCTCTAAGAGGTTAGAAAAGAAGCAAGGACATCCCATGAGGCATAAATGTCATCAGAGATAGATTAGCAAGCTTCATAAAAACACAATTTCCATTTCTGCTCAAGGAACTCTTCTATCTATGATTGTGAAATTAAAAATGATTGTAAAGTTGACTGATGATTATGATTTATTAAAGTTAATTTACTTTTCATTGGTTGAATCTTTTTTTAAGGCTAAAATTTACTCATTTTTATATTCTAGTGAATTATCTCTCTAATAAAATAAATGACTAACAATTTACGTATAAAATCAAAGCCTTTATTTTTTAAAAAACTACAAGGAAACTCTTACTATGTTTTTCCCATTTAATAAATTGTGCCACAGGAAGGAAAGGAAGAAGAGTATCTCCCTGGTTTACAAAATAAATTGCTCCCTGATCACCAGGAAAAAATGAAAATGGAAATATGCAGTGTCAACAGTAGCAAGGATTAGTTTTAACAGAGACATGGAAAATCCTGGCTTATTATTTCTGGTTCTAGCACTGACCTGTCTCACAAAAATCCTAACCTCTCCCCACTCCATATCCTTGTCTCAATAGAATAGGGTTATTGCCACTTGTTCAGATGTAGTGGCATATGCTTAAGTCCTAGAAACACCAAGAAAATATTTCAAACAGGAACCATGGCAACCTGAGCAATGATAAGATTAACACATCTTGAACAAAAATGGAACTCCTCCTTTCAGCTTTTGGCCCTTGGAGGAAATATTTACATCTTGGATTTTGATCCTATGAATGCAAATACTGTCCAGTTATTTACAGGGTGTAATACATTTCATTTCCATTGTTATTTCAACCAAATAGGTTGGTGAATAGGAAAACAAACAATTGCACAAGCAACAGTGGGGAGGGAGTTTGAAAAAACATGATGTATTTCAGAAAGGATAAGAACTGCCTGGCCCAAGATTGGAGCTTCTCCAGGAGAGTAATAAGACATGAGGTTGAAAAAGCAGATTGGAGAGAGATTGCAAAGAGCCTTGACTGTCAACTTGATAATAGCAAAACTAGTGAAAGTTTACACAACACTAAGCATGTGTCAGGTATGACGCTTCGACTCCCCATGGGTTTTTTAATTCATTCTTCACAACCAGGGCTGCTAATCAGTTAGTATGCACCGTTAACCATGAGAACTATTATTCTTCTCTTTTCACAGAATTTGGAAAACTTAGATAACTTGGCCAACCTAATATAGCTGGTACTCTGATCCTATAAGCTGAGCTCTTAGACTGCCAGGAGTTTGGGTTTTATTCTACAGGTATGGGAAGTTTTTTTTAAAAGAAAGTTTATTTTTTTTTTTTATTTTTTTTAGACAGAGTCTTGTTCTTTTTCACTCAGGCTGGAGTGCACTGGCACGATCTTGGCTCACTACAACCTCCAGCTCCTGGGTTCAAGCGATTCTCCTGCCTCAGCCTCCTGAGTAGTTGGGATTACAGGCACATGCCCCCACACCCGGCTAATTTTTGTATTTTCAGTACAGACGCGGTTTCACCATGTTGGGCAGGCTGGTCTCGAACTCCTGACCTCATCATCCTCTCACCTTGGCCACCTTGCTGGGCCTCATGTTGAAATTTAATTGCTACTAGAGGCGGGACTCTTAAAAGGTGATTAGGTCATGCGGGGCTCCACCCTTAGGAACACACTAATGTTGTTATGGGAATGGGTTTCTGGTTAAAGTGAGTTTATTCCCTTCTTCCCCTTTCTTGCTCTCTTGTGCCCTCTTACCCTTCCACTTTTCCCTGTGAGATGACACAGCAAGAAGGCCAGTACAATATGCCAGCCTCACATTCTTGGATGTACCAACCTCCAAAGCCATGAGCTAAATATATTGCTATTGTTTATAAATTATCTAGTCTGTGGTATTCTGTTATAGTAACACAAAATGGGTAAGATAGAAAATTGTTATGGAGAAATGGGGGCTGTTGCTATAACAAATACCTGAAAATGTGGAAGCAGTTTGAATTGGTAATGGGTAGAGACTGGAAGAATTTAGAGGAAAAGGCTAGAAAAAGCTTTGTCTTGAACAGAGCATTTAAAGCAATTCTGGTGAAAGCTCAGAAGACAAGAAATGTAGGAAAGGTCTGGACTTTTTTTTAGAGATAAGTTGTCAAGATCAGAATGTTGGCAGAAATATGGATGGTAAAGGCTGAAACTGAGGAACAAGTATTTGAAAATAGAGTAAAGGCCGTCCTTGTTATAAATTGGTAAGGAACTTGGCTGAATTTTATATATGCCCTAAGCCTTTATGGAAGGTGGAATATAAGAGTGATAAACTAAGATACATGGTGGAAGAAATTTCTAATTAAAACATTGAAGGAGGTATGAGCCTACTTTTGTGGGGTTTTTTTGTTTTTTTGTTTTTTTTTTGAGATAGAGTTTTGCCCAGGCTGCAGTGCAATGGTACAATTTCGGCTCACCGCAAACTCCGCCTCCTGGGTTCAAGTGATTCTCCTGCCTCAGCCTCCTGAGTAGCTGGGATTGCAGGCATGCACCACCACGCCTGGCTAATTTTGAATTTTTAGTAGAGACAGGGTTTCTGCATATTGGTCAGGCTGGCCTCGAGCTCCCAACCTCAGGTGATCTGGCAGCCTCGGCTTCCCAAAATGCTGGGATTACAGGCGTGAGCCACGGCGCCCAGCCAGGAGTGAGTTCCTGATAAAAGCATGTTTGGTCCCCTCTTGTCCTCTCTTCCTCTCTTGCCCATCCATGCTCCAGCAAAGGATGACATAGCTTGAAGCCCACTTGGCTTCAGACTTCTCATCCTCCAGAAATGTAAGAAATAAATTTTCTTTGTAAACTACCCAGTCTGTGATATTCTGTTATAGCAACACAAAACAGACTGACACCAGCAGAATTTCTACAAGATCTTTTTTTTTTTTTTTTTGGCTTCCATTGCAATCTTATTTTGGCTTTTGACCTTTGCATCTAGAATACACTTGGCCTTGCTCCAGAGAACATGCCATCCTGGCCTGACATACTTCACCTTCCCAACTTCTGTCTTCTTTGTTTGTGAGCTACCCACTCGGAAGTGTCCCTGACTTGCCTCCCTTGTCTTTGCTCCTCCTAGTGTGTTTTGCTTTATTTTGTTTTGTTTTGTTGATGCATGGGCCGTGACAGAAATCTACTGAGGTGAAGGGGAGTTGAGGAGAGACTCATTGTTTTCAGCAAGATGTGTAGTTATTGAGGAGAAATTAGAAGGCATCAACTAATGTGATAGGAACCGCATTCCTACCACATGAAATGAGACAGATTTTTAAATATTGCTAAGCAGTATAAGTATTCAGGCAAAGACTGACAACTAAATATGTGGTGGGCTCTAATTAGATGGTTCTTCATTTATTTCTAGGAAAAGGACTGAAGAAAACAGACAGTGAGATTGATCCAAAAACTCCCATGTATATACAAACACATGAAAAATGTCACCAAAATGTTAATGACAGTTACATTACACTTGCATCAGGGATGGGATTTCTGGTGAGTTTTTACTTTCTTCTTTATAAATTTATGAATTGTTTAGATTTTTAAAATATGAAAATACATATAATTAGGAAAATAAACTATTTTCACTGAGAGAGAGGAAAGTTTATGAATAAAGAAAGAGGAAAAAAAAGAGATCCAAGACTGAGGATAGGCACAATAAGCCCTTCAATCAAGGATTCAAGAAAATGAAAATAGAGGTAAAGGTGGATTAGATTATACTGCACAGGCAATGAGATATTAGCAATAGAAACTGATGGACTGAAAAATCTGGGAATCTGACTGTCCCAGTCATGGGAACCGCTAAGTTGTATAACATTTTTGTTGTTGTTTTCGAGACAGAGTCCCACTCTGTTGCCCAGGCTGGAGTGCAGTGGCACAATCTTGGCTCACTGCAACCTCCGCTTGCCAGGTTCAAGCAATTCTCCTGCTTCTGCCGCCTGAGTAGCTGGGACTACAGGCATGCACCACCATGCCCAGCTGATTTTTGTAGTTTTAGTAGAGACAGGGTTTCACCATGTTGGCCAGGCTGGTCTCGAACTGCTGACCTCAAGTGATCCACCCACCTCAGCCTCCCGCAGTGCTGAGATTACACGCTTGAGCCACTGTGCCCAGCCTAACACATTTATGTGAACTAAAAAAAAGACACCCCTTGCCAGGCTTGGTGGCTCATGCCTGTAATCCCAGAACTTTGGGAGGCTGAGGTGGGCAGATCACCTGAGGTCAGGAGTTCAAGACCAGCCTGGCCAACATGATGAAATGCCCTCTCTACTAAAAATACAAAGAAATGGCTGAGCATGGTGGCTCAAGCCTGTAATCCCAGCACTTTGGGAGGCCGAGGTGGGCAGATCACGAGGTCAAGAGATTGAGATCAGTCTAACCAACATGGTGAAACCCTGTCTCTACTAAAAGTACAAAAATTAGCTGGGTGTGGTGGCGCACGCCTGTAGTCTCAGCTACTGGGGAGGTTGAGGCAGGAGAACCACTTGAACCAGGGAGGCGGAGGTTGCAGTCAACCAAGATTGCGCCATTGTACTCTGGCCTGGTAACAGAGCGAGACACTGTCTCAAAAATGAACAAACAAGCTAACAAATTAGCTGATCATGGTGGCACATCTGTAATCTCAGCCACTTGGGAGGCTGAGGCAGGAGGACCTCTTGAACCTGGGAGGTGGAAGTTGCAGTGAGCCAAGATTTCGCCACTGCACTCCAGCCTGGGCAACAGAGTGATACTCTGTCTCAAAAAAACAAAACAAAACAAAAAACAAAAAACATCTCCATCAGTCACCACTCGACTCATTGGCCTGATACCTTTGTGCAGTGCATGACATCTACACGTGCACAAGGTGGTACTGGATGCAGTGAGGAAGACAAAAAGTCTGGCAGGAATGTGAGAGACTGTGAAGAATTGGCTCAATATGATGATGAAGTTCAGAGAGCTAAATGAAGTTCTGAGAAGTCAGTGTTTTAAATGGCTTAGTCATATGGATGTGAGAGACTCCCAGGGATATACCAGTTATCTTTTGCTGCATAACAAACCATCCTGAAATTTAGTGGCACAAAATAACATTTTATTGCACTCATGAATTGTGGAGTCAGGAAATTGGGTGGAGCAGCAGAAAGGGCTGGCTTATCTCTGCTTTATGATATCTGGGTCCTCCACTAGAGTGGCGTGAATGGTTGAGATGGCTGAGATACCTTTACTAGGACCATGTGTCTGAGGCCTCCTTTCCTCTTTTTGGGACATCTAATAAGCCTAAGAAGTCTAAGTTGTCTTGTTAACTCAGGTATAGTGCCTGGGCTGGGATGGCTGGAATGACTGAGGGCTGGCCAGCCTCGCTCTGTTTCTCTCCATCTACAAAGGTGGTCTCATGGTGGCCACAGTTCTTACATGGTAGCTGGTTTCCCCCAGAGTGCAAGAGAATCCCAACAGACAGCATGCACATGGGTATAAGGAGAAGGTGCAAGTCTTCTTATGACTGTCTTACAAGTCACAGTGTTACTTCTGCCACATGTCTAGTAAGTCACCAAGACTATTCCAGATTCAGGAAGAGGATAGGAACAGATTGATCTCTTTCTCAATATAAAAAATACTAGGAGAATACATGAAGAAAAAGAATTAATTGTGGCCATCTTGAAACAAGCAACCAAACTGGTGCTGATAGGAATTATCCAGAAAGGTAGGAGTGGATTTTTGGGATTGATCCAGAGGGAATGAGGAGTTTAGCCTCTAAAAAATGGCAAGATTCTGTACAATGTGCACTATTCAGCTAACAGGTACACTGAAAGCCCAGACATCACCACTGTACAGTTCATCCATGTACCACCCAGAATCACTTGTACCTTTATAAAAGCTATTGAAATTTAAAGAAATTTTTTTTAGTGGCAAGAATTTTAAACGTAGGAAAGCTGAGAGAGGCTGGTAAATCGGTGGCTTGAATGTTGCTTCCGAGTCTTCTTACTCTCCAGCCTTACTGTGGTTTGGGTATGGTGATATGGTGTGTTTGTTCCCACGAAATCTCCTGTTGGAATCGAATCCCCAAGGTAGCAGTGTTGGGAGGTGAGGCTTAGTGGGAGGTGTTTGGGTCATGGGGGTGGGTCGCTCATGAATGGCTTACTGGTGAGTTCTCCTTCTTACAAGCCTGGGGCAATGGATAAGTTCCTGAGAGAGCAAGTTGTTATAAAGCCAGGATGCCCCTCGGATTTGGTCTCTCTTCTCATGTGCCCACTTTCCCTTTGACCTCCTCTACCATGTTTCGATGCAGCACAAAAGCCGTCACCAACAGCTAAGCAGACGCTAGGGCCATGCCTCTTGTACAGCTTGCAGAACCATGAGCTAAATAAA